TATGACCGAGTTGCGAAAACAAGGTCAAACAACTTATATACAACGAAAGGAGACTGCGACCACACAAAAGACCATATTGATCTTTATTCCTGTTGTTAATGTTGTTTGAAGATGTTCTGATTGGGCGATTCGTGGTTCTATCTCATCGGATGACGACGACTGGTTGACGCAGTTCATCCTTTGTTTAGGATGAGGATGGATTGAGCTTTCGTCTGATATGCCAATTGACAGACATCTTCACAGCTGGAGCCAATTCTTGCGGAAGCTTCAGGTTATAACATTTCAAGTTGAAAATGCCCGTCGGCCCTTCCATGCAAGCTATAAATGCTCATAAATGTAAACGAATGGATAGAATGGTGCACAATTTCTCTGGATTCATCTTCATTATGCACTTTTATGCAAAATGAATGCCTCCACAAAAATGTTATCTCATTGTCGTAGAATGCATTTTGCGCACAAAATGCACAATCTCAGCTTCCGATCAGGTCAACTCACAAATTGCTTCCAGCCAATTTTTATGCAAAATGAAAACTTGAGCCATATTGAAAGTTCCATTATCCACAATGATGGACAGCAGGAATTTGAGTGATACTGTGAACCTGCTGGCTGTATGGCCTCGTTTTATGCAATTTGGTCGGGTCGACAGCCTTGCACCGTTTGCCTGATAGACTTGTTGACAGACATTTCGTCGGCACCACGTCCGGAAATATAATAAGTCGTCCGTCCATTGCTATCACTCGGACAGGATCAAATCAACTCAACGTTCTTTCAACGCTTTGTCAGTCGTTTTCGTCTTTTTCACAAGGCCACACAGTCGTCGAAACAGACACCACACCGACTAGGCTTGATGACATTCTCGCGAGTCGCAATGGCAACCCATGAACTGGGACGTTGGATAACTCACAGTTCATCCGATTGTGTCTGCGGTCTCGACGAATTACGTCATGTTGACGGTCGTGACTCGATGTCCCAACTGCACTCACTCATCGACTGTATTTCCCACCCATTTGCTCAGCCTATAACGGCAAAACAGTCGAGCAGGACGCTTCCGCTTTCAGCCTGCGCCGGCGACCAGTGGTCGATTGCCGTTATTCTCCCTCCATTACGGCATGACGCACTTAGCTCTATCTGTATGTCTGTCTGTATTTTTGCCTGTATGTATGCATGTCTGTATGTTCCCCTTGATCAATACATGTTGTGTTCAGGCTTGCCCATTCTCCGCCCGAGACCGGCCGAAATACTCCTGTCTCTATCTGTTTGTCTGTCTGTCTGTCTGTCTGTCTGTCTGTGTGTATATAGATTTGTGTGTATGTAAGTATGTCTGTTTGTTAAAATGTCTGTATCTCTGCGTGTGTGTGGGCTTGCGACTGCATCTGTAATGTTGAATGCCATTGTTGGCGCGTTAACGGCTCCTCACCACTCGATGACTCCTTTAGGATCGGTATTTTTATGAACGCATCTTCTGTGCCTTTGGCCGGCCAGATTGCGCACACTGTCTCGGCCATTTCGCATCCAAATGTCACGACCAGCTATCCACCCGGATCCGACCTTTTACCCTCTACCTTCCGCCAACCGTCTTCTTCATCTGCTCTTTCCCACCTCGGGCTCTGGCCGCGCGATGTTGGCTACCACCGGCAGCGGTTAGTTGCCTCTTGTGTCGTGTTGTCTCCTGCATGAATACACCTCTTCCATACATATCCATCTGACTCCCGCCACTTGTACGATGCTAGTTGCTGTCTGTCAGGTCTTTCAACCATTCTTTCACTTCACATACTCGTTCACACACACACACACACACACACATTAAAGGGCTGCGCGAACGATGCTCTGCTTATTTTAGCCCCATAGGTTTTCTTGTGTGTCGCGTATTCTCGTCTCGACTATTCCAATTTGCCATCCCCTCATTGGACCCGGCCAGGTCTGTAGGTCCAGTACCAAAGAGCCTCGTTCACTCCTGACCATCTGATTTTCTCGGATTTTCATACACTTCATCGATCGCTTTCACTTCTCTTCACTGCCTTCTTCCTGTCAAAGCCCTCTTTGTTTGTCTGCTGTTTTATCGTCTATTCCACCTCTCATCTACCGGACCCTACTTACCTGCCCCAAATGATTGCGAGAACATGAAGTTGTCTGTCTCACTTTCGGTCATCATTTCTTATGCCGATTAAATCTGTTTGTTTGTGTATTAGCGTCCACGTCTAAGCATGTATTATGTATATGTATACATGTATGTATGCCTTTATGCATTCGTATGAACTCCTGTGCACATGTGTGTGCCTCCATTTATGTATTTATGTGTTTAGGCGTGTGTTTTCGGTGTGCAGATATGTGCTTGTGTATGTCTATGTGGCTATGCGCTGTTATGGGTGTGAAGCGGGCGTCAGTCGTCGTTAGGTTATGGGGAAGATTAAAAAAATACAATCGAAAAGTCATCAGGCCAGTGTGATATGTCCTACTTTGTTGGATTCACGCACTTGTTGGTCTAACATTTCCTATTCGACTGGTGTTATGCGAAATAAAGACGGTGTGGCCTCAGGTTCGGTAGGAGTTGCTTTGACCTGGTCTTCACAACTTGGTCGGGGCAATAGGGAGACCTTGTGAAATGTACCTGGTCCTGTGTCCTCTGCACATGCTCTGTCATAGTTTCAGGGCCAGTCATGCGGGAGCTGATGGAAACGATGGCCCGACTATCTATCGTAGGACTATCGTGTAGGACTGTGATTTTCCAGTACAGCAGGGAACAGCTGCCCGAAATTGGATGAAGCGCATGGTTGAAAGGAAGCAACGATTGGGTTCAAGCCGACCGTATCGGAAATTGACGCTAAAAATACGATGACGCTTCACAAACATCCGCATCAATTTACTTGTAGCCCGTTTAAAGTGGGGTTGAGGCATGGGGATACAGCATTGGATCTACTTACTGCCTCGATCAATTGCGAAAACCAGGTCAGGCCAACATCATCAAGCTAAATAGGAGGCCAATTCACCCAAGTCGCATAACAGTTGATCTACTAGTAGCCACGATAGCTACTCGATCTGAATATGAGTAGCATAGTTGATTGTAATATCAAAATACAAGTTTACTTCTCGACAATTGCGCTACAACATGTATTATTGGAAGGACCTGGCTAGAGTTGAAAGCCGTGTTTGTTTAGTTTATTCGGTCTGCTCACTGGTGATAGTGGCAGTCGAAATTACACAAAACCTACTCCCAAATTGAGCCCTACTAGCTTTGTTTTGGCATGTGAATTAATCCATTTTTCGAAAAAGGATACTTGAAAAGATGAAAGCATATGATTGTCATAGGTTTTCGTTTGAACGACATTCTGTTCAACATTGAGGTTTGCCATATTATTTGATTAGAATGTTCCTTCAATACATTCATTTCATTGTACCTTGCTTTCGCTGGAAGAGGTGGATGCAAGGGATTTTCAAATTGTCCTTACATGCAACCTTCTACTTTGAACTAGGACGGTTTCCCTTCCTGAAATTTTGACAGCATTGCATTAAAAGATTTTAAGGCAAATTTACCAGACCTGAAGTCAAACATGATGGCCGGTTGTGATGTTCTTTCTTATATCTCTCACCCTCTCCCTCTCACACTTTTCTTCCTCTATCTACAAGATGACGCTGCCAAGTGGTTCTCATTTCAATTCGTAGACTTGTTACTTCCATTTATAATGATGGCTCTTTTAATTTACCTGTTTCGAGGTATTGAAAAAGAAATTCAATCAGTACAGTTCACGTAAAATGATACAAGTACTGGTATTTGAGTAGGACTTACGACTTTATTTCATGATGAGTATGTTCCGAGATGCTCGATAGATCTTGAATGAAAAACTTTTGGCATCTTAGGTCGCATAAAATTATGTAGAACTGATAGGAAGAGTTTTCCAAAATAGCATTAGTGGGCTTTATCTGACCCTGCCTCCAAAAAGGCTTCTTCATCATGGCTGGATTGCAATTTCGAGCATGTTTCATCGTCAAAATAGAAACCAACTAGCCACCATTGTTGTAGCTAGGCCATGGCAGATGTAACTTTCAGGTCAAGCCTCTTCTAACACATTCATAGTGGGACTCGGGGAAACTGCCCTTTGTGGGGCGCGATAACGCCATATTCGAGGACATTTGTAAACCTAAAGCCAACTATCAATTCTACTCCCTATTCACGATCTGGTGAAAGTCTCAAAACCGATTTGCACTAATAATCCGCATTTTTGTTTGAGTGCGTCAGCAGTATTCAGAATAGTAAGATTGTAAAATAAGTTCACATTTTCCTGTACTCTTCGTTTAAACCCCCGAGCTGTGACTTACGGTCAATCGAGCCCGTCCAAGTTCTCAAGTTTAGTGTAATTTTTCTCGGCATAACAAACTTGTATCGAGGCGACCTAGGCGAAGCCATTGTGTTAATGTCCAGTTCATCGGTCACCATGACAACACGGAAAAGTTGCGAAAACGAGGTCACACCTCTCCCATACTGTGAAAGGAGAGCTTTTCAACTATTTACTTTGTGGTCGCTTCGAATAAAGTGAATGAAATTCATAACCTACTTTATGTAATTGGTTGACCAGCTCCATCCAACAACTATACTTCTGTTTAATCTTATTATTTTTCTTACAATCGCACATCTTATTTAAACTATTCTCGATTTTTTAAATTCAAATGATGTTCTTAAATAAAAATTTGTTAGAAGATAGTCTAACTTCTACAAATTTGGTTGTGATACCCTAATATTCTCTCATCTAGACTCGGTTGGAGGCTCGTTAACGAAGCTAAAGTAGATTAAATAATATTGAGTAGCCATGAGGGCATCGTGAGGCTGAGCTTGGCGTGACACGATACGGGCCACTTGGATGTGGGAAAGTGAAGTTTCTGAGAAAATTCATTGGAGATGGTAAAAACAATGTATAAAAATGCCTTGGATCGTAGGTTTTACGCATACCTAGACGTTTTGCCACCTTGTTAGTCTACATCATCACTGAGCCCTGTTATAGCGCCAAGCCACAACGCATCAACAACTCTCTAGCTGTATCTTCGTTGCGGAGCAGATTTCATTTTGTGAATGTACCAAACCCACGTTCAAGGAGTATTTTCACGAATACTGTTAAGGAATATAATAATGATAGTAATAATTGTTTTTATAATTATAATTATTAACTTATTAAAAATAATAATACCTTGTTTTAGCAAATTGTCCTTGTTGTTAAAACGAACATATCGAGTCATTTGCAATAGCAGTCGTTAAAATTCCCATAATAATAATCCTTAATATTACTAATATTACTGCTGTTATTATTACTATTAATGGTATTTAACTTGTATAAAAGTGGTTTTACCAAATTGTTTGTCTTTAAGGTGAACCTGTCGTGTCATCTACGATTTCTATTGTGGAGGACTCGACAAATTCGCTTTGACAACACGAACAATTTGCTAAAACGAGGTGATGCCACTTTTGTACAAGCTCACTTTGCCGACAAGATTCAATCTATACTTGAGAACTTGGAGGGGACTGGTTAACTTTGAAAGTAACTGTCCGGATGTTTACACGAAGGGTACAGAGAAATGGGAATTTGGCTTAGAGTTGCCTGCCATATTAGCCA